TCAAAGCTTAGAACATACCTAAAGCGGCTCACTGAAAAGATGGCCTTTGGAGCAGACGCTGTGGCCAGCGGTTCAGATGCCGTGAAGGACACCTGCCTAGCATTCTGAGTTCCAGTCCTTCCTCACCCAGCAACCCAGCTTCCTGTGTGTGACCCCCGAGAGGCAGCAATGCTGTCTGAAGTGTTCAAGCTTCTGTCTCTTTGGGGGAAGCTAGGATTGAATCCTGGGCTTTTAAATTTTGCCTGGCTCAGATTTATTTGCTGTACATTTAAGAAATAAATCAGTGGATTTTCCTTCTCCTGTGTGTGTGTGTGTGTGTGTGAGAGAGAGAGAGAGAGAGAGAGAGAGAGAGAGAGAGACTCCCTTTCAAGTAAAATAAATAAGTAAAGCTTTAATGAAAGGAATATCTGTTTCCAATTGAGAATTCTGAGGTATATTATTTGGGTGATGGATAAGCTACTCCTGAGGCGTGGAGTTTGAGATCACCCACAATCCAGGACCCTGCTTGTCTGTGAATGAGATCACCCACAAAACAGGACCCGCTCCTCTGTGAATGAGGGCCACTTCATCGCAGCCTGCAGCCCTGAGAAGCTGAGTCAGTGATGAGTGGCACCAAGAACACACACACAAAAAAAACAAAGCAAGAAAGTCAGTCAGCAGCAGGGTGAAAAATAAAGGCAGTTGAAATGGAGTCCCTTTGCTATTAGCTCATCCTCAGAAGGACCTAGGAGGGATGTGCGCTGAAAAGAACAAGTTAGGATAGAAAGAGAACAAAGACTCCAGTCCTTGTCAGACAAGCAGGAAGGAGTGACCCTGCAGCAGCCTCTCACCCCAAGCCCTGGCAGCTGTGTTACAGAGTTAGTTAGTTGGTTAGTTAGTTAGTTAGTTAGTCAGCTGTGTTACAGAGTGAGTGAGTTCGTTCGTTCGTTTTGTTTGTTTTGCATATAAGTTCTGAATGTTTGGAAGGGGAAAAATCCAGAATACCAAAAGTTACACTTATAAGAGGGAAATGCATCTTGAATCTGCCCTGGCTTTCTGTGCTACCCCCACTGCAGGTGCCTTAGTTAAATTTTTTCTCATCTATCATCTGACTTACTACTGTTCCATCTCAGTACTGCACCCAGGCTATTGTAACAACACACTCTAGACATGGCAGCTCACACAACACACACTGGTTTTCTCACCATTGTGGAGGCTGAAAACCAAACCACAAGGTGCCTGCAGGCCTGATCTCCTTGAACCCTCTCCCTTGGCTTGGAGATGTTCCCGTGGCCTGATCGCCTCCTCTTACAAGCACACCATCATGTTGCAGCCAAGCCCATTCCACTGACCCCACTGTAACTGAATTCCCTCTTTGAGAGGTATATTACTCTTTGGAACAGTCTCTCTCTCTTTTTTTTAAGATGTATTTATTTTTATTGGAAAGTCAGATAAACAGAAGGGGAAGAGACAGAGAGAAAGCGCCTCCATCTGCTGACTCACTCCCAAGCAGCTACAATGCCCGAAGTTGAGCTGATCAAAAGCCAGCACCCAGGAGCCTCCCCCGGGTCTCCCACGCAGGTGCAGGGTCCCAAGGCTTTGGGCCGTCCTTGTCCTCAACCGCTTCTCCAGGCCACAAACAGGGAGCTATATGGGAAGCAAGCCTGCTGGGATTAGAACCCACACAGAATTCTGGCGCATGCAAGGCAAGGATGTTAGCCACTAAACTATCGTGTCAGGCCCAAGACAGTGTCTCTTAATACAGCCACTTGTACACTTGGGCAAGGACTTCAACACACAAGCTCAGGCAGGCACATTTCCTCTTTTCTCTCGCTCCCCAGCTTCTCTTCCAGAGTCCTGCTTGTGTTCTTTTCTGAATTTCAAACTACTTGCTCATCAGAATCCTTAATGACTCCTTAATCCTTGGAGAATAAGGTCAAACCATCTTGAATGGTGTACATTTCTGACAAAAAAAAGTCACCAATCAGAACTGCGACTCCTGCATCGGCCCTGCAGCAAAGCAAATGCACGTGCCGTCTCGGGATGGGCTCACCATGCAAAAGCAATTCTGATTTCCTCCTACTTCCAGTCAAAAGTCCAGAACGCCTGCAGATAGCACGTCGGAGTTCTTCATTATAGCTATCTACTTCTTAAAGTTCACTACCTGGCACCACTACCTAGTTAAATTAGCTGTTTCTAAGCCGTTGCAGCTCCAAAGTTCATCAGCCTCACTATGCCACTAATGTATTTTCCTGGAGAAGGACAGCTATGCTGCTAACAGCAGCACCACCCTTCAACTTGGGAACCTCTAATCTTCCTTCCTGAGGAAGCTCAAGTGTCTTACTCAGTGAAGCTTCCTAAGTGATCCTTTCCTCACTCTTCCAACACACACACACATGCACCCACATGCACACACAGGCATAAGCACGCAGGTGCCAGTGTCTTCTGACCATCGCCAGAGACTGTCCCGCGTACCCCAATGTGCAAGCATCATGCTGCCATGGGGACCGGAGCCTAGGATCAGGGTGGCACCCACTTCCCTTCTGCATTTGCAAATTCACATAACCTCCAGCACATTTAGAATTAAGGAAGCAAAAGGAATGGAAAGAAGAATCTTGAGGAGAGGGGGGATTTGCTTGTTTGTAATTGAGGATAGTTAACAAAGACATTGTGGAGTCCGTATTTCGGAGGCCATCCTGGAGGCAATGCCCTGTTATGGTCAGGGTTACAGACCCTCTCATTTCCCCTGCCTGCTTTCTCACTGCCCATTATCCGTGCTGTCCACCTTCTTAATCATCCTACATGCTCTTGCTAGGGTAATGGGTGCAAATCCTGGCCAACAGGTGACTTCCATTGGGGGGTGGGGCACTTGACTAACCACAAAACAAAGGTCAAAATGTAGAGCTTCTAACCTCTGATTTCCCCCAAGCTTCCATCCAAACATTCATTCTCTATGTCCCCAAGCAGAGAGAGTTTCCTTCCCATGGGAGGATTTCTATGTCTTCTTTTAGTTCCTCTTCTCATGGTTGTTCATCTTCATCCATCCAAACCATGCCCACACTGCCAGGCCACGGATTCCCAAACCATTAGCAATGTCTTTCATCTCTCAGCTCCTTGAACCTTGTTTTATGCAGCTGACCATGTTCTACCATGCATTACAGCTATTTGGCCAACATGCTAACATGCTGTACAGGTCACTGCATCCTCACTTACACTACGAAATTCTCAAAAAAAAAAAAAAGAAAAACCTTCTTACTCATTTCTTCTTTTCCTCGCAGCAAACAATATATGCCTATTCAAAGAATTTACAAAAGAGCTAACATGAGTTTTTAAATTACTGTTACGAGCACTCATCCAATAAGGCAGACTTACAAACCTCAAAGCATCATTTAAGCAACAATGTTTTATAATTTCCCTTTGATTGAATTCTGCTTTTTAAACTGAAAACTGACTAAAACTAAAAATTCAAACAGTGTGTTTGCCCCCAAGAAACGGCACCAGTGGTTGGAAATATTTCTGCCTTTGTTCATTTCTTGTTCCTTTTTTAGGAGTCATTTCTAACATTTAACAAACACAGAAGAAAAAACTATAAGCCCTATGTTGAATGAATGCTTTTTATTTTAAGTGGTTGATCATCTTCCTTAATAGATATTTGAGAAATTTTACATCATGAATGTCATTTGTAGTCATATCTTGACATTGCCTAGTTCTATGTTAAAAGACAGTTGAATTCCTGGCCTGTTTCTCAGATGAAAAATAATATATTCCAGTTGTATCCTTCTGTGTAAATAAAAAACAAATGTACCCTGCAGTTAGTGAAACTCATTAGACATACAATTTAAAAATTTCTATAGTCTCAGGTTCTTTATGCAGTGAAAGTAGTAACACTATGAATGCAGAGGGATACACACACACTCATGAAAGTATTCTGGCATGAATACATCCTGAAGAACTAGACTGTGAAACTGAGAAAGCTAAATTACTTCAGTCTTCTGCTGTTTCAATGGAGCATTGAAAAACCAAGAGTTCATGCCTAGACCTTTCCAACCCTGTTGGCCACAATCATCACCTCACTTGATTTAGCAAGTGCGGTGCCCACAGCTCTTAGCGTGTTTGTGAATATTCTATCTTCACTCTTAGAAACTTTCCTGTATCAATTTCCTATGAAACATAGGTCTTTCTTTTGGCAGAGATTATGAAAAAGACTTCTTTTTTTTTTTAAGTAAGTTGGTTAAATAGCTGAAGTCAGGGAAAATTTTCTCACACTGAGATTTATTGGATTGTGAACAATCTCTCCAGGGAAGTGCCAGAAGCCCCATCAACTGAGTTATTTAATTAAAACTATTCTGGAGTAAGTAGCAGAGATGTTGCCTAGGGGAGTAATTTTGCATTGATCCCCAAAGGATTGGCTTGATGGTCTTAAAATTCTTAACGGTCTCAAAATCTTAAATGTCTTTGGAAATAATCTCTTACCATTTTCTCAAAGAAAAAGTCATCCTGCCTACAACCTCTAATCCCTGCTTTAAAAAAAAAAAAAGCATTGCAAACAGAAACAAAATCCAACAATGAAAAGAAAAGCTTGGAAACCAACTTGTTGGTTTTTTTTTTCATCGCAGCCAAATAAACTGGTGGAGGACAGCACCCGTTCATAGAGAAAGCAAACAAAAGAGCTCTAAGTGCCCAGTAAGCTGAGAGCCTCATCATCTCCTCCTCTTTTATAAAACGTTGGGTCAGTAGATGATCTGTCAATTGGACAGCTCCGAGGAGTCTTCTTGGAAGGTCACACACCTGCATGCTCCCTAGCCAGGTTTCTAATAGAAAGCAGCTCCACTCTCCATCTTGGATGGGAGTTTCTCAGACACAGAAGCCTAGACAATCCAGGGGGGGTAGACAGCATGTGGGCTGAACATGTTCCACGGGTACTTTGCTGGCCACTGAAGTTTGTGGGATGCCAGCTTTTACTCACGCGAGCAGCCACAATCCCCACCCTACACTAGCACCCACACGCCTCCCACACCCACCTGAAGAGGAAGTGTGTTCCAGTGACAGTGGTTGGCAGCCTCTTTCAGCGTAGGGCGAAGGCAGTTGTGGTAAAGAACAATGGAAGGCGTGTGAGTTGTGATCACTGAGACCTAGAGGAAAACCCAATGAGCCAGAGTCTCCAGCGACGCGCACAGGCCTGGGAGAGTTCTCACACCGCTCCTCCGAAACGGTCGCTGCTGCTCATTCCCTAGCAGTTCAGTCAAATTGCCCCTACTCCACAGTCATCTGAGAAACAAAACATCTAGGAAATTTCTTTAGTAAACAAAATTGTGATGCTCACGTTTACTTTTTAGCGACTGTCAGGTGGAAGCTTCTTCCTGGAATCAGCCACAACTAGTGAATCTAAAGATCAGGTTATGTAACCACACAGAAAGATAAGTAGGGCGTATGGAGAGAGAACTAAGCATTAAGACACAAAACAAAACAGGCAATACTCGAAAATCACAACAAAGGCACATCCCCATGCCCACGTGTTAATTCAACTTGGTAAGCCATAGTGCGGATTCAATCATATGTATTCATATAGCAATATCTTATTTCTCAAGGGTTTTTTTTTCTTAAAATTCCTCTCTTTTTTATTACAAAGCTTTAACCAAAAACCTGAAAGTTGAATTTCATGACTACAGAGGCACTAAAATATACTTCTCCCTATGCTGGGCCCAGAAAAAAAAAAAAAAGGCAAGGCAACAAAAATTATGTTGACAGGTTTTGATAACTGTTCTACTTCACCCTTGAGGAATGCATGACCATGAACTTCTCCCAAAAGCTGCAAGTGCTAGGCATCACCTAACTTCTTCTCACAGTAGTTTCTTTAAGGAGTGGTAACTGAAAGTATTTAAAATGTTCCTGCTTAATATATTGACTGTATCCTACAGGTACTATTTAATAGATTTGCTCTTTCTTTGAATGAAAAACTACTAAAACAACACATATAGAATTATATGAAAGGAAAAGCTCTTATGACATCTCTGAAATTGCTCCAAAACGGACCTTAAAAGAGTCAATAATTCTCTAATAACATACTTGAAACATTTTTTTCCTTATTTCTCTATCCCACTTAAAAAAAATTAAACTCAACAGAGATGCATTTCATAGGTAAAACCAAAAGAGGCCACGCAGTGACAACACAAGCTGACACGCGCTGCTGACCCTTGGATCAGGAGGCAACAGCGATTCCTTCTCTGGCCTCTTTGTACCTCTGTGGAATTTCTATTGATAGGCAAAAACCTTTCAGATCAAGCCTTGCTCTCAATCACTTTGTAAACATCACAAATATGAGACAGTGTCTTTCTCGGTTTTTCTTCTTGCCTTCTGAATATGGGATAGGGAGAACAAAAGCTGGAGAAGTTTACAAACAGCTATTGCAAACTATGTTGCATAATATGAAATAATCTCAAAAACTTCCATGGGAATGTGCATTGTCTTTTAATCTCATTTGCTGTGAACTACCTGAAGTGCCATCTACGCCTGGCTTCCCGAGTAATGGGATCACCTGTGTTTCATCTGTTTACCATATGCCACATGATGGAATCAATCAAGCCTTGGATTATAAAACAGAATAAATTACATTAAATTGTTCATCAATCCTATTTGTTGAAGTTTAGAAGTTTTTGTTGTTTTTGTCACAGCTGTTAACAGTGCTTTTAAAAAATGTAAATTATCTTCATACAATAGATTATATTAGATCAAAAGCTGTTTTCTGGACAACTTTCCAAAGCAATTCTCCTGAAATGTTACTCCACCCCATCTCAGTGTTCAAATACTCAACTATTCTCATTCAAGTTTAAGTTCAAATTCCAGCCATAGATGGATCAATTCTGAATCTCTTAGCTAAAGTATAAATTCTATCCTCTGAATTGGAATAGAACTTTTCATCCTTAGCTCTCAGTGCTAGTTCATGATGCACAGCTTCCATCTCCCTTACTGCCCTGCGCACTTGGGCTGCTGACATTTATGCCTTCCCATCCTGCAAACCACTGGACTCCAAATGTTTAGGTTCTTAGGTGAATGAATTGATGAATGAATTGAATTAACCAATGAGTTCGGTCCCCACCAAGCAGCATACCTATTTTTACATGCTAGAACTGGGACATTTCTCTCTTTGCAACTTTAAATCAAATCCAAGCCTGATATTACCTCAGCATTAGGGGGAAAAATGCTAATTGTGCTATCTGCGCTTAGGTACAGAGGGCATATTGGTCTATTAAATTCCTTTTGGTCTGAGATGCTCAGAACTGTCATCTATTCTGGGACTCACAGTGTTAACAGAAACCAGCAACATGACACGAAGGCATGAGGTGCTGTGTCAACTGCTGCAGACTGGGTGCGAACACATGGGCCTAAAGGAAACAGAGGTCAAAGGCTTTCCAAGAAGCAGTGTGGGTGGCCCAGAGGGGGCCTCATTCAGCCCAGAACAAAGTACTTCAAGAGAAAGAGCAAGAACCATGAGAATATGGGTGATCACCAAGTCAGAAAACATGTGAAACAATACAAAGTTCCTCATGTCTGGAGCACTAACTCATAGTCTGCACGTGTGGTCTCCTAATTTCCCATCTTTTAAAATAAAATCATCTTTCTTCAGATCAAAGATCATAAATTTTGAAATCATTCTCGAAGCGTCTCTCTGACTGCTAAGCCAAATTAGAATAGGAATCTCATGATCGTCTCACACAATGATCTCTGAACTTCTTAAAAATTGTAATTACATCTTTATTTGTCTTTCTCGCTAGCAATTCACATTTGGCAAAAAATTTTATAAAACTTTGTTGAGAAAAATGGAAAATAGAATGTCTAAATATGAGAAATACCATACTATGAACTCCAGACCTCATGGCTACTTCTGTGTCCCTTCTGCTCAGAATCTGCTTTATCTATAGTTTTGCCACCCATGATTCTACACATAATTTATTTAGTTTTTCGTGTTTCTAATGGAATTATAGACTGGATTTTCCTGCAGGTGAGTTTTTTGCCTGCAACCCAATGTTCCTGACACATTAGCGTCAGTGAGCATGAAGACCACTCAGTGACCCTGAGTGATTCGGGCCATCTCCCTGTAGGAATGGTCCCACTGTAGTCATACTTCTACCGCTGATGGCTATGTGGGTTGTTACCAAATGTGTGTTATTAAAGCTATTGTTACTATAAACGTTATCTGAAAATCTCCTACATGTGGCTATCTATCTGTAACATATCCATCAGAGAAGAATTATTGCATGAAAAGATATGTGATTATTTGGCTGATATGTTATTTTCAAAACCAGATAAAATACTTAACTTTGCGGACCAATTTAGTGGGGATATTGGATGAAATTAAGATTTATACCTGTAATTTATTTAAGTTGTTTGTTTACTCGAAAGAGCAATAGCAACAGACACACGCACGCACACGCACACACACACACACACACATGCCCACACAGAGAGGACAAAGATCTTCCTTATCCTCTAAATCACTATCCAGATGGCTACATGGCCGTGGCTGAGTCATGCCAATGTCAGGAGCCTTCACCCGGGTCTGCTATATGGGTGGTAGGGGCCCAAACACTTGGGCCATTTTCTACTGCTTTTCCTATACCATTAGCAGGGAGTAGATGAGAAGCAAAGAAGCTGGGACCCAAATCAATGTCCTACGGGATGTTTTCATTGCAGGTTGTGGTTTTACCAACTATGCCACGATGCTGGCCCCTATCAGTAAACTTTGAGCAAGAAAACTGTCCTTCCTTATGTAATGGCCTTTACAATCATCTGGAGGTCTGAACAGAACAAAATTTCTGACCTCCCAAGAAAAAGAGAGAATTTTCCAGGAGAGATTTCTATAATGGATTTAATGAGAGGCATTATTACCATAAAGTTCCCTATATCTATTGCTAATTAAGAATATCTATTGGGAAACTAAGGAATTTTAGAATAACTGTATTAATAGTAGCATTTGTCGAGAAGAAGATATTCAATTTGCTCTTCAGCTCAAAGCCAAATCTGAAGGGGCAAGAGGAATGACGGGAGCTATGAGCATCAGTGTGTTCTGGGGGGCTCCAGTGGGCTTCCATGTCCCCCAGGATATGAGTTTATACCTAGATACAGCTTTTCATGATGGAAAACATGTGACATTTGAGGTCATGGAAAAATTACTGGACTCACTACTCTTCACTATCCACACTGTAAAATCAAAGTAATGTTCACTTCCAAACTTGCACTGGGGGTCAAGGTAAAATATATATATATGAAATACAACATGAAAGATCTCTTATACACAATAAGCAGAAGTAAAAAAAAAAATGTTTGGCTCAGCTCATTTACCCTGTTGAATGTCTTAACAATCTATTATAGAAATTAGAATCTCTGAATTTCTGATCCTTTTTGTTAAATAGATCACCAACTCCCTTTTCATATAATATAAAAATGTAATACGTATGCAAATATTGGCATGCTGTTAATGAAGTACAGAAGATAAATTTTAAATACATTTAAGGTTTGCTTTTGAAATACTGTCAATATATGGTTTAAACTTACTATCATTCTCGGTATAAAATGATGAAGGCCTCCATAGCTCAAAGTAAGGTGGATCACATGCTTAATTAGCACAATAAGCCAGTCTCAAAGTGACAAATCATGTTTTCACTGTGTAGAACACATTTCACCATGTAGAACATACAAGCATGCAGCAATGAAGTGGTCACTCGGGATGGGACTGTAGTTTTTAGCCTGTCTTTACACTCCAGTGGAACTGTAGTCATAGAGGCCTCTTATTCTTTTTTTTTTTTGCCTGTTGAATATTATTAGTGTCAAATTAATTCTGTGAATATGGAGTGGATTAAGATTCTGTTCTTGCAAGTCCTGTGAGAGACGGAAGAGAGGAGATATACTGGGGGAACAAGGGAGTGAAGTGTGATCGTCTCCTCGGAACTGTACCAGGGGATCTGTTCTCTTTATATTAATAAAAAAAATCAAAATAAAAGGAATCATAAACACAAGCAAAGACACATAGTTAAGGATAAATCATGAGGAATTCAAAATAAAGAGCTGGGCTCCCCTTTCTCAACAGGAAACTGACAGAAACACCCCCATTGTTTTTGTAAAAGCCCCTTGAAGCATAAAGTTTTCTTTTACTAACCTCAAAAGAAGAGCAAAATAAAGTAAAATAGAAGCAGGAGAAAAAGCAGAGCGACTAAAAAAATCATGAAATATTGCCCATACTGTGAAGTAATATCCAAACTCCTGCCTTGATGTCGCAATCATCATGTAATGTAGTTCTCCAGTTGGTTCCACACTCCCTAGTTTCAACTGGTTGTCCTTTGACAGAAATCAGTACCCCAAACACAAGAGCTTACCATGTGAGGCACAGAGGGGATGCTCACTTTGTTAAAGCCTTGAAGGCTCAGGCCTTGAGTAAACTGGCTTACTCTTTTAACATTCTCACAAATCCCCTTCTTCATTTGCATGACTGATCAGAAGTTGTCTATAGGGATCTGCATTTGTGACACAGTGTGGGTTAAGCTGCTCTCTGCAAGGCAGGCAACCCACATGAGAATCAGTTTGAGCTTCAGCAGCTCTGCTTCTGATTTAGCTCCTAGCTAATATACTTGGGCAAGCAGTGCAAGATGGCTCAGTTCCTTGAGTCCCCGCCATGCACATGGAATTCCAGACTCATCGTTGAGCTGGTTTAGCCGTGCACTTTGAGGTCATTTGGGGATCAATTCAGAAGACAGAAACTCTCTCTCTTTGTATCTCCCTCTCTGTCACTCTGCCTTTCAAATAAATGAAATAAACCTTCAAAAAAAGAAGTGGGCTACACAGTGAAAACTGACAACGATCATTATAATGGAAGACTGCACACAACAGCAAGTACAGACTTGAATAGCAAAGTGCAGACTCTAATAAATGTTTAGAGAAATTTTGCCATTGACCCCCTCTGTGAGCTATATACAAAAATTAACCTTGAGTTAAGCTACACCTGTTGAAAACAGTAAAATCACACATGGGTAAATCGTTGCTACTTTGACACAAAATCTGTGTTTTATCCCATAGCACTCAGATGTATGAGCCATTTCTACTTAGAAATGACAGCACATTAAAAAATATAGTTGATTCATAATATTGCCTCTTTGAAATAGTAACATAGCATCTAAAAGTAAAATTGGAAAAAGACACAAAGATAATGTAGCAAGTGGTAATTTTTACTCTAGGATTTCTATAATCAAATGTTCCGGATGTATAAAAAAAGTAAAATAAAACTGGCCCTTACCTGACTGAACCACCAGCAATTTCTTTTTCCAAGTTCCAAGTGGAAAAAGGTTAAACAAGCAGGAATAGAAACCCACATCAGCTTCAGAGGCATTATGAAAGAAAAGGGTCATATCACTGGTTGCCATTGTTGAATTTAAAAAGGAAACCCTATCAACGTAGGGCTCTTTTATGCTCACACCATACGTAGGGTTGAAAACAGCAATGGACTTCTCCTGCCCATTGATCTTGAACCACTCAATCTGGGTCACATTGTCTGTTGATGGATACACACATTCTAGAGTCATATTCTTGGCAAATTTAACAGTTGTTTCCCAAGATCGCTCTTCACATAGAACTGAAAGAGATGGCATCACATAAATTTAATTAGCCTCAATCATGGAGACATTGAATAAATACTTAAGTTTGGTAAGACCTAGTAAGATCCCAAGTTGAGTTCATGGGAAAAGCTAGCAGTTTCTATTTTTATCCAAAAACAAATTTGCACTTTAGATACTTAGCATTTGTAACTTTGAATTTTCCTGAGCAAGTGGGAAACTATTTAAGTGAACTAAAGAACATTATATATTCTGAATATGTCACACTGTAAGACCAAAAAAAAAAAAGCAAATCTAATAAGCAATCTTTGTGAATGAAGCCATAAAAATTTTTCTTTACCTTTGTATACAAGAATAGCCCAAAGGAAAGCAGGATAATCCATCTCTGGGAACTGTCTAGGAGGTGGTCTGTATAAATAAAAAAAGAATGTATCCTGTTACATGCAGAGGCCCAGCACGACGCACCACTTCCTTCCGCTCAGATATTATCAGCTGTGTCTTTTTTTTCTCAAGTATGAACATAGGAAAAAGGTCTTCGTTTCAAGACCAGTTTGTTCTCCTACAAGGATGGGCAGGTCTGAGTTACTTCTCTCGGGGAAATAGCTTATTTCAAGGTCACATTTTTACAAAAATTCATTCATGCACTAGACATTTACTGAGTACATTCTTTTCTCCAAGTTCTCGGGCAATGAGAACATAACAACACAACTGAAACAAAAATACTTGCCATCATGCAACTTACATTTCAGTTGAAAGGAGACAAAAACTAAATAAAAAATATAAAAAAGAAAAAAGGATTATAAGGAAAAAGTGGTAAGAATATGAGGGAAAACAAAGCAGGGAAGTGAAGCTAAGGGAAGTGGGGGATAAGGAAGGTGGAGCACTGTGCCCCTCTTCTGTAGAACCTCCTAACTGGGAAGGCAAGACCGGGCAGACGTAAAGATGCAGCAAAGGCTCTCTGCCGCACTCGGATGTGGAGTCACCACCCAGCACCTGCCCTACCTTCCCCCGCTGTCCTTTGTTGATTTCACTCATTGGCAAGGGTGACATGAACAGACCACGGAAAGCCTCATGGTGGCCTGGGGCATGCACACCTACCATTAAGATGGAGATGTCTTTTCAACTTTTTATTTTGAAATAATTACAAAAACAGTGGAGAGTTTCTAAACACCTGTTACCCAGTTTCCCTCAATAGTCGCATCTGACATAATCACAGTACATTATCAATAAACTATCAATAAATTATCAAGTTGTTATCAATAAACAACTTAAATATTTTAATTGTGTTTTTTTTCTATTTCTATTAACTGGATAAACAGACATAGAAAAATACACATATCCAATCTACTGGTTCACTTACCAAATGTAACTGTGCCAGGCTGAAGCCACGTGCTCTCACCCGGTTTCCCACAGGGGCATTTGGGACATAACTACTGGAGACATCAGCTGCTACCTCCTAGCTACATGCTAGATGGAAGTAGTAGAGCTGGGCTCGAACCCAAGCACCAGGATATGGAAGGCAGGAGTCCCACGCAGCACGTTAACCACTGTACCAAATTCCCATCCCTTGATTCATGATTTATTACTTAGATATGCCAACATTCTCCTCCTTCTCTGCTAAGACTATAGCTGCAGGATTATATTATTGTAAAACACAGGGGACAGTTGGGAGGGGAGTAGGGGGAGAGAAGAAAGGGGGGGAAAGAGGGGAACCCTATGCCTACAAAACTGCATAATAAAAAGTAAGAATAAGAAAAAACTCCTAAGCCCTTGTTAGGAACAGAATAATATACTGGTATCAAAAATATATTTTTATGAAAAAAGGAACTATTTAAACACACTGGTACCAATGAAAGTATCAACATCAAAGGTCAGTAACAAAGAAAGGGCGAGTAGGAACCATGGAAGGCAATATTGCCTGATGCCAACTCTGAACTGTATCTGTCATTCAATCCAAATATTTATCAGCAGTGGTTCAATAATGAGCATCAGTATCTAGAGTGGGAACATCTTCAGGACAGGTGAAATTAACAATGTAATAACAGGACAAAATTAAAAGGTATGCACATAACAGTATACTGTTGCTCTGTTTACATAACATTCAATTTTCTAAACCTTTCACATCTGTGATATGATTTGTGCCTCTAGTCACTGTATAACATGCTCAGTAGAAGTATCTAATACCTGTTTTGTATGTAATTCAAGGCAACAACTGCCACAAATTTAACCACATTATGCCAGGTACATCACTCAGTCAGTGGGAAATTGCATGCAGCTGGAGTGTGGTGTTTTCCACAAGTCAGGCAAAGTATTGTGGGTCAAATAGATTCACAAAGTGCTTTGCTATAATGCAACCTGACCATTGCTACACAAGTTATTTGAGATTTATGACAGCCCGGGGATGGGAAAATGCATGGCAATAGATTTGAAAGAGGTTTCACAGAAAAAGTTGGAGAACTGGGAGAGGAAACAGAGGCGTAACCACAGGGAGCCTTTCCAGGAAGTGGCGTGATTAGCGCAAGGAACAGGGAAGTAACCAGAGCAGTGTGCTGATTGAATTGAAAGGTGTCTTGAATCATGCATATGCAAGAGCTGAAAGAAGTGAAACTTGGTCATCATAGACCCAGTGTCTTGCTTCGTAATTAAAGCCTATTCTAGCACTAAACAGAATCTCATTTACAATAACTTCCAAAACAATAGACTAGCTAGGGCCTGGCACGATAGCGTAGTGGTTAAAGTCCTTGCTTTGCACGCCCGGGATCCTATATGGTTACTGGTTCTAATCCCAGTGGCCCCGTTTCCCTTCCAACTCCCTGTTTGTGGCCTGGGAAAGCAGTCAAGGACAGCCCAAAGCCTTGGGACCCTGCACCCATGTAGGAGACCTGGAGGAGGTTCCTGGCTCCTAGCTTCAGATCAGCACAGCTCCAGCCATTGCAGTCACTTGGAAAGTGAATCATTGGACAGAAGATCATCTTCTCTGTCTCTCCTCCTCTTTGCCTTTCCAATAAAATAAATCTTTAAAATAAAAGAATAAATTATGAAAAACTTTAACTAAGGATGTGAGGCTTTACAATGAGCAACAAAATATTGCTAAAAGAAACGCTAGAAGGTATATTTAGGAGACATGTCTGAAAGACCTTATGTGCTTCTCAAGTGGAAATTTAGTATTAAGATCAAATTTTCAGCCATTTTTTTACAGAAATGGAAAAAAATGATCTTCAAATTCATATACAACTTTAAATACTTTGAATACCGAAAGAAATCAACAACTAAAATAAAATAAAATAAAGGACTCATAGTTTCCAATCACAAAATTTAACACAAACCTACAATGGTCAAAACAGTATGGTATTGGCTTAAAGAGAGGCACACAAAATGGAGTAATAAAGTTGAGAATCCCAAAATAAACCAAAATAAACCCACAATTCAATAGCAAGTTGATTTTCAACACAGATGACAAAACCATTCAATGGAAAAATAATTGTCTTTCCCATATGCAGTGCTGAGGCAGTAGGTGACCACATGCGAAAGAACGAAGTTGGACCTCGACTTGCCACCACACACAAAGCTTAGAATGGGTCGAGTTGGGCCCGGCGCGGTGGCGCAAGTGGTTAAGTCCTCGCCTTGCACGCCCGGGATCCCATATGGGCGCCGGTTTTAATCCCGGCAGCCCCGCTTCCCTTCCAGCTCCCTGCCTGTGGCCCGGGAGGGCAGTCGAGGACGGCCCAAAGCTTTGGGAACCTGCACCCGCGTGGGAGACCCGGAAGAGGCTCCTGGCTTCGGATCGGCATAGTATCGGCCCGTTGCGCTCACTTGGGGAGTGAATCATCGGATGGAAGATCTTCCTCTCTGTCTCTCCTCTCTGTATATCTGCCTTTCCAATAAAAATAAATCTTTAAAAAAAAAAATAAAAAAAAAAGAATGGGTCGAGTTAAAACAAACCAAGGAAAACATGTCAAGTCTTCAAGACCTTCGAGTTGGCAATGAATTTTTAGCTATGACATCTAATGTAAGGGTAGAAGAAAAAAATGTCTTTATCAATTTTTTTTAATTCCTCCATCAACTTCTCAAGGCATTTAAAAGACAGCTACAGAAGGGAGGATATATCTGTACATCAGCTGACTAGGATATCATAACCGGAGTATTTAAAGAACTCTTACATTACAGAACTAAGAAGAATAGTCCAATTAAATGAAATAAAATAGACAAAAATGAATACATATGTTGCTAAAGGAAATATACAAAAAGCCAACAAACATTTGAATAGATTCTCAACATTGTTATCCCTCAAGGCAAAGATAAATCACAGTGAGAAACCACAATGAAGTTGCCAATTTGGTTATAATCAATGAGGAAATAAGCACAAACGGAGCACAGAGGAAATGAAATCCCTAAGCATTGCTGGTGGGAATGTAAGACAGTGTAACTGCTGTAAGAAAAAGTACCTGGTGATTCCTCCAAGAACTAAGTCAGGAATACCATGGGACCCAGTAATTTGACTCCTTGGCATATTTCAAACTTTAAAAAAATACTCAAAACAAGATGAGTACACCAGTGTTCATAGGAGCAGTATGCACAACAACCAGAAACTATAGGCCAATTAATAATGTATCCAGATGGTAGAATGGTATCATAAATAATAGCATCATTAAAAGAAGTGACATTAATTTGCTAAAAACACCAATGAACCTTGAAAATACTGTGCTATGGAAAAGAAGACAGCCACAAAGGGTCACCTATTTCAGAACTGCATTTTATATTAAATATCCAGAACATTCACAAATACCCAGAGATTTGGTACACCATTGCTACAGGTACAGGGAGAGAGACAGGAGGAGGAGCAAGGGAGCAGAGTTACATATGTGGTTGGACACTGCTAAGATCCTAAAAGAAATTAGTTGTGGCATGCTATTCTGCACACCCAGCAGTTCCTGAACAGGGCCCTAAGCAAACATTTTCTACCTAGGAATAACAGATCAGGGATGTGGGAGGAGACTTTGGAAGGAAGGGCTTACCGTAGCTGGTAGTCACCCCTTCATTTCCAAGGCATCAGAAGCCACCTGATCCAAGAGGTGAAAGGAAGGCAATTGCATTTGCATTCTGCAATGGAGCTATCAGGAGGTCACAGATTTAAATGAAAGGTACAGTAACACTTGTAGCTAGAGATGCACTTCAGCTAATACAACTTTGCTAAGGATGAGCCCAATTTATCAACATCTAACCAAAGACAAATAGAGACTGTGTGTGAGCTATTTTTGTTTTGTTGGCAGCCATTTTTTGCATGATTTATGAAGGGTTTTTGGCTTGAGGTTTTTTACTAATAGAGCTGTCTCTATAAAAGAGCTTTGTCTTCAAGGAAGTCATTAATCAAAATATTACTGGAATTCTCTGCCATTAAAAACGTCTCCTCTAACCACATGTGTACACATCCATCTCAAGGCTGCCTCTGAGTCCAGGCTCAGTTGGCCTGGACCTCCAGCAATGCTGTTTGCCTTCTTTCGGGCTATTCACACAGGCAGAAATGTCTCTATGGGCTGTACTGCTTCTGTCAATTTCTAGTATTTTCTGCTTTCATGCCTGCATCTACTGCTTTTGAACACTGGAAGGAGTCTAATCTCTACAAGCCAGTCTCCCCAGCACACACTGAAACACCCAACACACATGCACAGACAACTACTGGCAAGCTAGGAAGGCCTGTGTGGGACTCTGAATAGATGGCAGGCAGACTGCCAGCACGCATCTTTGTCACACACATCTTTCCTCAGGTACACGAGTTTGTCTCTCTGTCTCTTGCTAGACTGTCCTGTTTCAGAAAGAAAAATATTATTGGCTAAGTTTCCACTGCCTGCTCCCATGGCTCTATGGACCACACCACTCCCCAGAATGTGAGCAAGTCATAGCATCCCAGACGTTCCTCTCCCTCTGACTGACAATAAAGACCTTATTGCATTCAAAGCAGAAACTTCAAACAAAGGCCAGCATGGATCGTCAAAGAGGGCATTCTGCAAAGTGGGACCCAAGGGCTGAACCCAAGTGCTGCCTGATTTCTGTGAACATCTTAGTTGCAGCCCAGTCACATTCACCTGCTTCTATGTGGTTCCCATGTTCTCTCTGTTATCTGTGTGCCATAATACTGCAGGTGAGTGGACTCTAGTCCTGACCGACACCATATGGCTTACACACTTGTAAATATGAACTATTTGATCCTTTTCAAAAAGAAACAATGTCCTAGCCACTGTATAGAGAAATGAATCTTCATATGATGGACATTTAAGTTTATCCTTGTTTAATCTTTCTTAAGAGACTGAAGGTTAAGGCTGATATCCACAACACTGGTGAAATTAATTCAATGTTATTCTTCTAGACAGCTACGCCACTACATTTATTACAAATACAATCCTGGAAGCAGAACTACAGGTTTTAAATAGCATCCTGTTACTAAAAAGCCATGTCTGTCATTAACCTTGAAGCTTTCAGCATCTTCCCAAATCTCGAGCTCCTTGCAGCCGGTCCCCATGGCTCCCCTTCCTGCTATGTCTGCTTGTCATACAGTTTTCTTGATGACCCCAAGCATTTCACACCATTATGAATTTAAAAAGTGAGGCTCAGTCACACCTGTCCTCCTTATGAGAAGGGTACCAACCTTGAGAAGTGTCTGCTGCTCGCTCTAGTGCTGCTGGACCTGTCTTGGTTAAGAGCTTGCAATATCTCAGGTCACTTTGCTGACTCTGTCACGAGCCTGGCCAGCTCCCATCCGTTCTTTCACATAGTAGGAAGTTTCCATGCACTTGAGCTCTTCTCATCACCAAAGCTTCATCAGGCAGCAGACGTGACGCACAAATAGTACATCAAGTCAAAACGTCCACTTCCTCCCGCAAGCATCTTTACCATTTCAGGTACTCAGACTCATCCCAAGCTCAGATTCAGTTCTGTTCCCTTTAGTCACGTAGATCTGAAATTTGAAAGGATGTACTTCTCTCCCCCTGTTTTCGCTCTCACTTGAAAGCACATGCAAAACTTTGAAGTTACTTTCTTTGACTTTTCTTCCCCTTTTTTTCCTACCAATCAAACCACTTCATACTCAGTAGTCTCTTAAGTTCAGAAAACCTTGTCTCTCCTCATGTCTAACGAGGTTTCGGTCCCACTTTCTAGATGCTCTGTCTCTTGCTCTCACTGCGTTGTCTACCATTCGTTAGCAGAAAAAGCACCCAAGCTGATGTTCTCTGGATTACTCTGCCACAGGTTTAACAGCTTCTATGTCTTAGAGACATCTTAATTTTAAAATTTTTTAATTAATTAATTTATTTATTTTTATTAATCACATTGCATTATGTGACACAGTTTCATAGGTTCTGGGATTCCCCCAACTCCTCCCCGCGCCCTGCCTCCATGGTGGATTCCTCCACCTTGTTGTAGTATTACAGTTCAAATTCAGTCAAGATTCTTTCATTGCAAACATATACCAAGCATAGAGTCCAGATAAATTCAATGGTTTCCATCGGATGGAAGATCTTCCTCTCTGTCTCTTCTCCTGTCTGTATATCTGTCTTTCCAATAAAAATAAATAAATCTTTAAAAAGAAAGAAAAAGAAACCTATTGTGAATTTCCACTTCAGACATACGCATGTGAATTCTTCCACCAGTCTTCTGCAGGAGGCTCTTTCTGGTTATGGAGACTCTAGCTGAAGCCTCTAGCTGAAGCCTCTTGGTGTGTATGTTTTACCTTTAATGAATCGTCTGTGATCCCTTAGAGTGGAGCGCTGACAGAAACGTGAAGCAATTGAATGAAAAACTCTTCCAGTCGGATATGCTGCTTCCTTTCGCAGACTTCTCCCTCAGATCTAATTCACCTCTTTAGCAGGTAGCTGGGGTCGCAAGGAAAGGTTTGTTTGCAGTTCTTCAAAAACTCTCCATGCAGATTTCCCTGTGTCTGTGCTGGCCTGCACTCCCACCAGCAGTGGACTATACTATTGTAGCAACGTGGGAAAATCTGTCGGTGGATGAGAGTTTGGGTGGATGGGGAGGGAATCATAATCTCTACGAAATTGTATCATAAAATTGAAAAATTCAAAATAAAAGTTTAACAAAAAAAAATTTAAAAAGAAAAAAAATTCAATGGTTTCTTGGGGAGACCATGTCTGGTCTGGAGGCAGAGCTGGCAGAATATCATCCTGATCAATTAAAAGCCACAGCATAACATCAACAATTTACAACATTATGGAATTAATTGACATGGTATTGAGTAACCAATATGTTAAAAAGAAACATCTTAATTTCTTAGCTGTGTTAAAGGCCATTAAAGGCCAGTAAAGTTTGTTGAATCTATTCCTTTGAATGACTAGATTTGAGGCTAAATGCCCATGAATGACCGTGGCTATGGCTTCAGACAAATGTGCAATGCATAGAAAGAAGAATGTGCAGCTCGTGGGAAAGAAGGACCACAGGGGAGAGGGCACACAGGCACTGCCCTCCCTGCACATGTCACCAGGGCCAGACTGCTCGCTGCTAGGCAACATGTGTGTCTCAAAGCAACACTGTCCCTCAGCACACAAAGCCTTCCTGAGCGCTTACTGTGCACCAGGCTGATTTTGTCAAAACAACTTCCTGACTCCTATTTCTCCCTTACACATTGTCCTCCACAGGATACCATAACTTCCTGTGGATTTGCAAAGCTATCATGATTAATCGTTGCCAATCGTTTCTGCAGTCTACTAAATCACAGGGCTTTGTTCACTCCCAGCCTGCACTCCAGAAAAGCCAAACACTTTCTATTTTGAGGACCATGTTCTTACTGCACGTGTGACTCGACCTCTCTGAGCCCTGTCCCATTCCGTAGGTCTTAGCTGGACATTGCTAACAGGACGTTCTCCTTGGCCTTCCCAAGAGTGACTTTGATTTTGGTTCCTGTGCGTTCCCTGAAAACTTCAAACAAATCCTTACTGAAATATTTATCATATTCTACTGTGATCACACATTTTCTCACCGCTTTTCTCATTACAGCTAATTAAACTCCTTCAAGATACAGGTAGTGTCAGCCACTGCTGGACACACAGACCCTTACATAGCGTCTGATAAGCGGTAGGAACTCAATCAATATTTGCTAATTGAGGATGACGTTATTCCCATCAGTTAGGTTTCATGGCATTTTTTTCTTTAGAGTTGTTATAATCCTAATTCCATTTTATATCCAGTGTGTGATCCTCCTTTTACCTTTTTATTTCCACAATGCATGATACAAAAAAGTGGGGCCTACTGCAGTAGCCTAGTAGCTAAAGTCCTCGCCTTCCACACACTGGGATCCCATATGGGCACCGATCCTAATCCCTGCGACCCGACTTCCCATCCAGCTCCGTGCTTGTGGCCTGAGAAAGCAGTTAAGGACAGCCCAAAGCCTTGGGACCCTGCACCCATGTGGGAGACCCAGAAGAGGCTCCAGACACTTGCATTCAGATCAGTGCAGCTCTGGCCATTGCAGCTGCATGGGGAATGACTCAACAGATGGAAGATCTTCCTCTCTGCTTCTCCTCCTCCATGTATAGCTGACTTTCCAACAAAAAATAAAATAAATAAATCTTCAAAATTAGTGAATCCAAAACACACACTGATTTGGCAGGACAGACTCAAAGATAAACTTTCCTTGTTTGAGCCAATCACTTCTTAAATGACCTATCTCTAAATTAACTTTGAACACTGGCTAAAACTGTCAGGATCTGCCAACATGATTTATAATACACCGAGTGTCGGAGCCTACTATAGCCATACATGCTATTTACATGCAGAGCGCCTAGATGCTCGGCCTACTTCCTGACTATTGACATAAGCCAGGTCCATTTTACAAATTATTCTTCCATAGTAACTTCCTGAATCAGCATTCATAAGCAAACACACGCATCAGCAGCGTCACCACCGTCAGCATCATGCTCATTGTCCACATGTCCCATGGTACAGTCTGAGCTGTTATCATGTAGGAAGGCACAGTGGGCAAAGCTTTTGTTGTTTGTAGAGATCCGTCCGAATCTGGTTTCTTTAGCTTTCTCTTGGGGCTCTCGAAGTACTGAATACAAAGAATTTCAGTGTTAACTTTCCACAGAGCTGAAAGTAGCACAGACCTTCTTGGAATGATCTGAGGATGTAACATTGCTTTATCCAACATGAAGTTAAGTACTCTTTCTTAAAATTAATTATTTATCTATTTTATTATTCTGTGGTAGAGTTCTAAATGCTACGGGATTTCCCTTTTCTTGTCTCCAACTACCCACCCCACCCACTTTTTCCCCCATGTCATCACAACAGTCTAGTCCTTCACAATCCATCATAAGCCCATCATTCTGCTATTGAAGTGTAGACACTGTAGGCTGGACAATGGCAGACAGTCCAGCACCCTATTGTCAAGATACATTCAACAGTTTCATTGGGAGTCCAGCTTTGGTTTGGAAGTAGAGATGCACACTGCATTGTAGCTTCACAACTGGATATGATAGTCTCCACTACACGGTTATTGTACACCACTTAATTGAAAAGCCATAAAACAAATCCACAACAAAGAAAAAAGCAGAAAATTTACAACACCATTAAGTTAAATAGCATGCTACTGAATGAGCAATGAGTTGCTGAAGAAATGGAAAAGAAAACCAAAGAACTTTCTAAAGCAAACAATGCTATTATGTGACCTATGAGTCGGTGAGGAAATTAATAAGAAAAACATAATCTTACTCAGCAATCATGTGGAATGTTAGTAGATCATATGGTCAATAATGAATTACTGGGCCAGTGCTATGGCATGCCACCATCCCATAGAGGCCTCAGTTGGAGAGCCAGGTGCTCTGCTCCCAATCCAGCTCCCTGCTAATGTGCATGGGAACACAGAAGAACACGGACCAAGTGTCCAGGTCATTGTATGCAAGTGGGAGACCTAGAAGAAACTCTTGGCTCCTGGCTTCAGCCTGGCCAAGCTCCAGACAACGCAGCCATTTGGGAAATGAACCAGCAGATGGAACTTCTCTCCCTCTGTCTCTTCTTTCTCTGTGTAACTGCCTTTCAAATAAATACATGTACTTTGAAAAATAATGAATCACAAATGGACCAAGAAAACCATTCTTAGACTAAGGCATCTATGCCTTATCTATGCCTCCAGAGCACAGTCCCCCTAAATACCCCAACACGGAGAGCCAATGGCGCTGAGGTTGAAGAAAACAGCTGCAGCAGAGTGGAAACACCTGCCACTCATCAGCTGAGCACGATTCCTCCCTCCACACCCGTTCATCTTTATGAGCCTTATGAAGCAAGACTTCCAACTGCTTAAAAGCAAAAACACCTCTTTAACGCTGCTATTTGTTGACAGAAATAGGAAACACAGCAAAAGTCATCACATCACAGCACTGCTTAGAGCATGACATTAGCTACCTCTAAGGTTACCATGGCTCTAACCCATTGTTCAGAAAAGGGGAAGGGAGGGGAAGGAATGAAGCATTTGTCCACTTCATTCATATAAACTGAGTTTCAGGGTGACCCAAATTTCTCCTTATAGAAAAATTCAGCTACTGGGGGGAAAAACAATCAGATGCTTTTAAATTTACCATTTACTACCTCTATTAACATAATAAACCAAAACAATTATTCATATACGTTAAGATCACTGAGTGAAAGGCTAATGGGGAACTTTAACAGGGAAGGTAACGTTGATTGATAACACCTGAGCTCTTTAATCAACCATAACCTCCCTAAAAATGGTCCAACCAGACACTAGAGGGCTGCCAATGTGCTGAAGGAAGAACACAGCATCTCTAGGCAAGCTCTTCCCAAGGTGGCTGAGCCTGGATCCAGCCAAGCCTCCAGGAGTAAGTACCAGTGTGTGAAATGGAACATCAACGCACGACCTCGTCTACAGGCATCGTGAGCAAGGAAGCAGCTGAGCACAGAATGCAAGAACCACGACAGAGAGCAAATGCTTCAAGTCCTTCGACAAACAAATGACAACTACAATAAACAAGTATCAGCCAATCCAGCAAATGCCGAAAGGGCACTTGATAATTACAAGCACCGTAGCGATTTTGGAATTTCCTTAGCATGATAAAGAAAACTGATCAGAAAGTAGAAATTAGCTTGCTGTTGTGATACTCGAGGAATCTGAAACTTCCTTACTGCGATCTCCTTCAGTATTTCATATATTCTGGAGGTTTTACATGTGAGGGATGGGGATGGGGGTAGCCTGGCAGACACTGGTTGGGATGCCTACATCTTGCCTCAGAGTGCCTGGCTCGATCCCAAGC